GTTCTCAAACGCGGCGAAGATACAGAAGAAGAACACGATTATAGAAGTGACCACGCCCGCGCCCGCGATGAGACTCGTGGTGATCAAGTGCGGGTTGTCCTTCAACGAAGCGCTCGCTGCGCCCAACAGTTTCGCCACGAGCTCCACCCTTTCGCTCGTCCTTTGCATCCAATACAAAAAGAACCCACCCAACAACGCGAAGATCACACAAGGAACGATCGCCCCCGCACTCGCGAGCGCGATGGACATCGCGAACAACGAACCGGCCTTCGCGTAGATCATTCCCCACGTCGCCGCTCTCGGATGTCTCTGAAACGCGTGTAAAGCCAACGCTCCTAACCCGATCGCCCCTAGCGCCGCCGCCAGAATGAACGGCTGCGCCATGCGCAGCCCCTGTCCCACCTCCGCGTCGTCGTCCTCCATCAATGAGCGTCTCAACGCGCCGTTCCCGGTCGTCGCATCGTGACAACTGGACCATTTCGAACTGCGCATCGACTGCATCCGACGGATAGCGAGCTCGCGCGCGCCGAGTGGTACAAAATTCAAGAGGGCGAGCACGAACTGTGGAACGGTATCGGTCAAGACTACGCAAACATCATTCGTAGGTTTCTCGTGCACTTCCACCAAGAAGTGACGTCGAAGCCGATCGCGGAGAGGTTTGATTTCGTCAACGGTTCCATCGGAAACTTTTTCTTCGCCGGCGTGCGAGTTTTTTTCCGTTCCATGGACGCCGCCATTTTTCTGTATTCTCGCGTCAGTCGCATTCCAGACGACACGCGCATCGTTCCGTGCCTTGATATGCTCGAAGATACCGAGCGCATTAATCTCGTCGCGGAGCTCACGGACGGCACAATTGTTCGCGGTCAAAACGAAATTTCGCATCCGTCCATCGACAGCAAGAAGTTCACAAAGGATATCGTCGCGTCGAGCAAGAGTCCGGACGTGATGCGGAAGGCTTTCTGGACGGCGGTGTTAGAATCAGGAGAATTCCCGGAGTCCGATCCTCACGAGGTGTGGGGTGGTTTGCCGAAGAGCTCTGGCGGGTACAAGAGCGTGCGCACGGCGCTCGCGAGCGGCTCGCTCATCGACGCGGCTGAACTGCTCAAATCTCGTTTTGACGACATCGCCGACACTCCTCTGAGCGTTTGGGACGTTGATAAAGTGGTCACGGCGTTCGATCCGCTTCCCTCACCGGTAAAGCGCGTGTTCTACGCGTCGAGCTTGGATCCAGCTGCAAAGAACATTGAGGTTCAGCCCAAGCCGAACCGGACCGTTCTCAACGACATCGCAGACTGCGACGCCGTAATCTACGGCATGGGATCGCTCTACACCTCCATCATCCCGAACGTATGCCTGAGAGGCATGTCCGAAGCCATCGCGAAATCTGAGTGCAAGAAGGTGATCATGCTCAACGGCAGTCTCGATCGAGAGACGGGGCGGATGAAGGCGAGCGAAATCGTCCAAGCTCTCGTGGACGCGGTGAACATGCGCTACACCGCGCACGAGACATCGTATGCCGTGCGCGACATCGTCACCGACGTCATGTACCCGCAAAACGGCGGCATCGTCGTTGACGTAGACGTACTCGCGTCCATGGGTGTTCAAGCGCACGAGTGCGAATCCGTCCCGGCGCCGTCCAGCGCCGCTTCGCCCGCGGCGCACTACGATTCCGTCGCTTTCGTCACCCGACTCGCCCGCTTCCTCCGTCGCGAGGGCGTCGCGCGATGATATATTTCTTTCCCTGTATCAGCACATTCATTCGCATTCATCGAATTCATCGAAAGATTCGTCTCGCCCCCCCGTCTCGCTCTTCGCGTCGCTTCGCCGGCGAGGGTTTCTCTCGCCCCTCATCCCTCGACCCGTCACCGACGAACGCGATGCGCGCGACGCGCGCGACGTCGCTCGCGAGACTCACCGCGAACGCCCTCGCGTCTTCGCGCGTCGTCAATCGCGTCGACGGATCGTTCAACCCCATCGTCGTCGCCGATGGATCGATCGTGAGCCAACGTGGTTTCACCGCTGCTGGCGAATCATTCCGTCGCCCACGCGCGTTCGGACGCTCGTTCGCGTCTGAATCGGGCGCATCAGACGACGGTACCGATGGCGCGCCCGTGGACGCGAAGGACGCGGCGCTGAGGCGTCGGTACGAGGCGTTGTTCGCGCGTTTCGAGAACGCGCCGAGCAAGCAGCGACGCTTCTTACTCAACCTGGCGCTCAAGGGACAGATGAGCGTCGCGGACGAGGACGACGGCGAGGAGGGGGGGCAGAGTGGATTTAGGAACCGCGCGCTCATGACGCGGGTGATCGACGTGAATCGAACGAATAAGGTGACCAAGGGGGGGGACCTGACGAATTTCACGGCGCTCGTGGTGGTGGGGAACGGCGACGGCGTCATCGGATTTGGCTCCGGGAAGGGGGCGGACGTGGGTTTGGCGATCGATAAGGCGTATAGAAAGGCGTCGAGGTCATTGGTGTACGTCAAACGATTCGATGAGCACACGATCTATCACGAGGTGAAGGGGAAGTATTGTAAGACGTTGGCGGTGATGCTGCCGGCGGCGAGCGGTTCGGGCATCGTGGCCAACGACACCGTGGAGGCTATCTGCACGCTCGCGGGGATCAAGAATATCAAGGCGAAGATACACGGAAGCCATCACCCGCACAACACCGTTCGGGCGGTTTTTGACGCTTTAGAGGCGGTGGAGTCGCCAGAGGATGTCGCCGAGCGCACGGGCATGAACATCTACCGAGACAGGATTTGATAGATCTAAAACACTTTGTAACAATACGACCAAAATTTGGCTACAGTCGGCTAGTTTCTACTGCGATCGCTGGAGCACGCGCTCGAAGATTTCCAAAAACACCCCGGCGTGCGCAGACGTGAACGTTAAGCTCGGTCGAGCGCGAATGGTGCTCGTCCCGCATCCGCCGATGTCCACACCCCCCTGCAAGAGATCCTTCAATAGTTTGTCGCGCATCTCCGTCGTGGCGCAGTCGACAGCGACGAGGGTCCCGACCCCGCGGGCGTTCGCTAACACGCTCGGGAACTTTGCTTGTAAACGTTCCAATCCCTCCAGCAGCGTAGAGCCGGCGGATTTGACGACGTCGAGTAAATTTTGCTCCTCGATCTCGTCGAGCACTGCCTCGAGCTGAATCAGCTTCGCCGGATCTCCCATCCACGTGTTAAAAATACGATACGGTAGCTCCGGCGCGAGGTCGGCGGTGGCGTAAAAACCGGCGATTTGCATCTTTTTACTGAACGTCACGAGGTCCGGCGGGTGCTCGAGCCCCCACGCTTCGTGCGCCCAAAAAGTCCCACTCGCACCGCATCCGGTTTGCACCTCGTCCACGATGAGACGCACGCCGCGATCGCGCGTGATCTCTCGAAGCCGCCTGAAAAAGTCTGGGCTCGCGTGGTTATCGCCCCCCTCGGCCTGCATCGGCTCCACGATAACCGCCACCACGTCCTCGTCCAACGCCAAGACCTCCTCCACCTCGTCCAAACATTTCGCTTCCTCCGCCGCGTTTTCCTCCGCATGCGCCTCGAGCGGATACTTCAACCTCGGGAACCGACACTTGGGCCACGCGAACGCCGGGAAATCGAGCTTATGTATCCACTTCGTGTGCGTCAACGTCAAACACGCCGCCGTTCGCCCGTGAAACGCCCCCTCAAAAGACAAAACCTTAAAATTCGGCGTTCCCGGCGTCTCGTGTTCCATGCACGACGCGATGTCCTCCGCCGATATCCCTCTCGCCCCTCGTCTCGCGTTCGCCGCGCCGATGAACGCCGCCTTCATCGCGTGTTCGTTCGCGCACGCCCCGCACGCCATCGTCGTCACGCGCGTCATCCCTCGCGGCATCACTCGCAACAGCGTCCGAGCGATTCGATCCGCCCAATCCGTCGGCGGGCACACCCCCAGCGCCGGTCGATGCGCGAGCGTCGACGCGTTCCGCCCGTCTCCGATCGCCGCCATCACTCGCGGGTGATTGTACCCCAGCGGCAGCGACGCGATGTGACAGTGCATGTCCAACATCGTCGTCCCGTCCGCGTCGACGACGTAGTTTCCAGCGCTCGCGTCGAGGTCGACAAAGTATCGAATCGATCCCACGTCCACGCCGCTCGCGCGCAATCGTTCGAGCTGCGACGCGCTCTTCGGTCCCGGGACCGGGGCCCGCGCGCGCGGTCCCGCGGGTTCGTTCGCCGCGCCGCGCGCGCGCGCTCGGGCGAGCGCGCCGGCGAGACGACGACGGGCGCGCGCGAACATGGATCGATTGCGATTCAACCACAGTGCGCTCGCGCCGTCGAGTGTGGACGACGCCACGCCTCGGCGCGGGCGCACCGCGCGCGCGCGCGCGGAGGACGCGCGAACGATGGACGTTCGCGGTGGTGCGCTCGGACGCGCGGGCGCGCTCATCGATAACGCGTGGACGACGACGCGGCGGTCGTTACCGGTGGTGAATCCGCACGACGGCGCCGTCGTCGGTGCGATCGCGCGAGGGAGCGTCGCGGACGTGGACGATGCGGTGCGAAGCGCGAGGAAAGGGTTCGTGACGTGGTCGACGCGGAACGGACGAGAACGGGCGAAAACGCTGCGCGCGGTCGCGGATGGGTTGCGACGACGGCGGGAGACGTTGGCGAGACTGGAGACGACGGATTGCGGGAAACCGTTGGATGAGAGCGCGTGGGACGTGGATGACGCGATTGGATGCTTTGAATACTATGCCGATCGGTGCGAACGGGTTTTTGGGGAACGGGCGTACGCGGAGGAGGTGGTGGAGCTGCCGGACGAGGACTTTGCGGGACGCGTGAGACGCGAGCCGCTCGGGGTGATCGGGTTGATCACGCCGTGGAATTATCCGCTGTTGATGGCGACGTGGAAAGTGGCGCCTGCGCTCGCGAGTGGGTGCGCTGTGGTGTTGAAGCCGAGCGAGGAGGCGAGTCTGACGTGCCAGGTGTTGGGAGACGTGTGCGTCGAGGCGGGTCTGCCCCCAGGGGCGCTGTGCGTCGTCACCGGTCGCGGAGACGAGGCTGGAGCGGCGCTGTGCGCGCATCGAGGCGTTGATAAGATTTCATTCACCGGTTCTTTTCGCACGGGACAAACGATAATGCGGGCGTGCGCGCAGGACGTCAAGCCCGTGTCGCTCGAACTCGGAGGAAAATCCGCCTTGGTCATCTTCGACGACTGCGATTTGGAGAAGGCGGTCGAGTGGGCCATGTTCGGATGTTTCTGGACGAACGGGCAGATTTGTAGCGCCACGTCACGTGTGCTCGTACACGAAAACATTCGTGAGAGGTTTTTGGCTCGATTGAAGGAGGCGTCGGAGGCTATTCCCGTCGGCGATCCGCTCGCGGAGGGATGTCGACTCGGTCCGCTCGCGTCCGCTGCGCAGTATAAAAAGGTGACGAGCATGGTGAACAGGATTAAACGCACGAAAATACATCTGCTCACCGGTGGAAACAGACCGCGCGCGCGCGGATGCGAGAAGGGCTTCTACATTGAGCCGACGGTTTTCGTCGATCCACCCCTCGACTCAGAGGCGTGGCGTGAAGAGATTTTCGGTCCCGTGATGTGCGTGCGCTCCTTCAGGACGGAAGAAGAGGTCATCGCGATCACGAATGATTCCGAGTACGCCCTCGCCGCGGCGGTGATCACGGACGACGTCGCTAGGAGAGAACGCATGGCGTCCGCGTTCGACGTCGGCATTGTCTGGATTCAGTGTTCGCAACCTGCGTTCACGCAACTCCCCTGGGGCGGTCGACGCAGGAGTGGTTTCGGGAGGGATCTCGGCGTGAACGGCATGGATAAGTACATGCATCAAAAGCAGATCGTCGAGTACACGTCCGGCGCACAATTCGAATGGTATCCGATGTTCAAGAAGAGTAAACTTTGAGACGAGCGCGGAGCGTTCCTTTTTTCGTTTTGTGGACACGTCGTCGTATATTGTCAACTATTATGTATCACACGGGATTTAATCATCGCGTCCCAACGCCCTCGCGCACTCACTCACCGTCCTCGAACCGTCCCGGATCGTTCCTCATGAGCGCCTCCACCTCGTCCTCGACGACGACCAAGTCGTCCAGCCTCCTGAGCGTCGCCTCGTCGTCCTCGTCGTAACGCGCGTCGTCGTCTGATTCCCCGTCGCTCGAGTCCGGATTCATCATCGATCCCTCGCTCATTGCGGCGTAGATCGTCTCCACCGTCGTCGCCGCCGTGGGCGAGACGTACGCGTGCGTCGTCTCCGTCTCCGCGCTCGAGCCGCTCTCGTCGTCGTCGACTTGACAGTACACGCACCCGCGCGCACCGAACCGCTCGTCCGATCGCGAGATGGCGTGTAACGCCAAAGAGTGGTAATCGCACTCGTACGTGTCGTCCATCGACGCGAACACGACGCGAGAGGTGGTGACGAAGAGCTCGCATTCGCGCGCCGTTGCATCTTCTGCATTCTCCACTTCCTCATCCTTCACGCGCTCGATGACGAGCGAGACGTCGCATCGAAGGAGCACCGACTCGTCGTCGCGAAGTTTTAACGCGCGATCGTCGCTCAGGGCGGACTGGACGCGACGAAGACCGCTCGCGGGCATCGCTCGAGCGCGTCTCGCAGTGACGCGTCGAGGAGACGACGCTTCGGTCCCATCGCGATTTGCGCGCACAAACTTTGTGATACAACAGTAATACAGCTATCATCTATCGTCGACCGCCGACGAACAGGGCGTAGGCGCCGTCGGCGATGAAGGAGGCGTGTCGCGCCATGTTTCGCGCTATTTTACCCGCGCTCGCGTTCACCCGGCTCAAGACCTCGCTCCCACCCCCGCGTTCGCCCTCGTAACGCTCGCCCGTGGCCATCGATCCACTCCCCGAACGCCCCGCGTTCGCGCGCTCGCCTCGCGTCCCGCGTCGATCCGTCGTCGCGTCGCTCGCCGCCGCGCGCTCGGCGACCAAAATCTCCAGCCCTTGGCACAGCGGAAAGTCAGTCCCAGCCTTACGCTCCTCCATCGTCGGCCGTCGTCGTCCCTCCGGATAAAACGGCACTCTCCGCGCGCTTCGTCCGACGCACGCGTACCTATACTTTCCCAAAACCTCCCCCGTCTTCATCGTCCGTCCGCGCGTCTCGTCCAACGCCGCCGCCGCGCGCCACGTCACGCCGTAACACCTCTGCGCCGCGCCCGCGATCGCGCGCGCCGTCAGTCACCGCACGCGCGCGCATCGTCCGCCCGCGCCCGTCGTCGTCGTCGTCGTCGTCGTCGTCGTCGTCGTCGTCGTCGAATGCATCGTCGAATGCGTCGTCACGCACCGGCACCCCCCGCGCGCTCTCCCGCCCGTCGTCGAACGTCGTCACGCCGACGCACGACCGCGCGCTCGCGGTCGCCCCCAAGTCCGCGCGCGCGCTCGGGCGCGACATCTCGCGAAGACGCGCGGCGATGATTCACGTCGATGATTCGCGTCGAGGGTTGACGACGCCGCAGATCTCGACGCATCGACGCGAGATGTCCGCGGACGACGCGAAGGAGACGGTGCGCGCGCGGCGACGGCGGCGGTGACGATGGACGACGGCGCGCGTGGGCGCGCGCGCGCGCGGGAACGCGAGACGGAGGGACTGACGAGGATGATGCGTTGATGATTTTTGATCGCATCGCAGCCGGCGGCGACGACGACGACGACGGGCGTGTTCGGATCGACGGCGTCCATGGGTGGATTCGGTGGACTCGCGAGCGGTGGGTTCGATCCGTCGAAGTTTGCGTCGACCGCGGAGACGGGATCGGAGAAGAAGACGGACGACGACGCGGGGGACGAGGATGAGGACGACGTCGAGGCGGAGTGCAAGGCGGAGTTCAAACCGGTGGTGAAGCTGGAGATCAGAGAGGGGGCGGAGGCGGAGAAGACCGGGGAGGAAGACGAGGACATTTTGTTCGAGGCAAAGGTAAAGGCGTATCGGTACACGGACGGGGAGTGGAAGGAGAGAGGACTCGGACCGATCAAGCTCTTGGAGCATAAGACGTCGAAGAAGATTCGCGTGTTGATGCGACGGGACAAGACGCTGAAGATTTGTGCCAACTTTTACGTGCAGCAGGAGAGCAAGGTGGCGGAACACGCGGCGTCGGAAAAGGCGTGCGTGTTCACCACCGTGGATTGCTCGGATGGTGACGTGGCGCCGGAGCTCTACAACATGTGCATCAAGTTTGGAAGTTCGGAGAAGCGCGAGGCGTTCACCGCGGCGTTCGAGGACGCGCAAAAGAAGATGGCCGCCTTACCCAAGGACGAAACCGAGATCGAGGCGGAGGCGGAGAAGGCCGCCGTCGCCGACGAGGCGGACGCGCTCGCCGACGCGCTCGAAGGCGCCAAGGTTGAGGGCGAGGGAAACTAAAAACCCTTATTAGAGCGACTCGAACTCACGATGAAATGAAATGAAACCCTTCTACTACCGTTATATTTTCATTCATGACTCTTCCTAGGCGAGAAGTCGTCGTCCGAACGTGTCAAACGCCGCAGCGAGTTCCTCCGCGCTCGCTCGGATGTGCTCGTTCGGACACTGCATGCGTCGACTCTCCGAGGCGTAGCTTACGCACAAGTCGCCGATAGCCGCGCGCACGTGTCCTCCGGTGGCGTACGCTCCGTACGCCGTAGATTTCGGCACAAGGGACTGATCCCATAACTGTAACACGAAGTACACGGACCGGAGCAAACGCACACGCATACGCGGGGTTTGAAGTGCGTCCACGCGCGAGAGACGCTTATCGTGCATACGCTGTGCCGGCGTCGCGAGCAATTTATCGTACGCGCGCTGCACGGGCTCAGCGAGCCCTTTGCACGCAACTACGAGTGCATCGGATACCTCACTCGAGTCGTAATCATCTTCCGATTGTGCCTCGACGGCAACGTCCGGGACACCCCATAGTCCCGCAGCCATGAGCTCTAAACGCAACGCGACGTGAACGACGGGGAAAGCGACATCCGAGGGGAAGAGCTTCACGCCCAGCTCGCGCACGGCGAGGCAAGCTTCTCGAACGCACGTCGACGCGCTAGGAGCGCGAGCGGCTGCCTTCAAGAGAAGCTTGTCCCACAAATCACACGCGATCTCACCGTCGGGATCGTGATACTGTGAGAAGTGCAACATCTCCAAGCATATGTCCCACAGCTCGCACGGCTTGGCGAAATCGTTGTACAAGTCGCTCAGCTGCTTCAACTCACGCTCGAGCTCGTACACGAACGTTTCTTCCGGAGCGTTCGACGATCCTGCCTCTCGCGCTTGACGCGAACGCTCGACGCAAACACCTAAGATGCGACGCTGCATGTCAAGAAGCTTGATTTTGCTATCAACGTTTTCGCAGAACGAAGCGTCCAAGCCGTTTGTGATGCCCCCATCAACTGACTTTCTCGCGTGCGAGAGCGCGCGCTCATACAGAGCCATGCGATGATCCAGCGTAAACGTCTCGTCGTTTGCGCATCGTCGCTCGGCTAATGAACAATCCACTTGTGCAGCCAATCCGAAGAGCGAGCGAGCCGCATACAGTCGAGCCAGGAGGTCGAGGTTTCTCGCCTCGCCTGGCGTGAGCGCGCCGCCTTGCTGCGCGGCAGTCAAAGCGCTCTTGCTGGCGAGATATGGCTCCAAAATAGCGGCCGGTAACGACAAGAGCATACCGTCTCGCTTGACCGAAATCAACTCGGCGAAGACGCGGTGCATAAAGTCTTGGGAATCAGCACCGGAGACGTGTTGAAGCTGCTCAAGAATCTTCACGAGACCTCGTTCACGAATATCCTCCGGAAGCTCGGCAGCCACGCGGCTCAGCGAACCGGGTTCGGCATCTGAATCGGCCCGACCGGTAGCGAGACCGCGAATCGTCGTGCAAGTCACCTCGAAGCACGATTGGAGATCCTGTTGATAAAACAAGTTGCCGTCAGTCATCGTCGAAACATCTCACTTGAGCACGCGAGCTCGTTTCGTCGCTCAGCCTTAGATGTTCTGTAATTTTAGATCGTCACAGGCGCCCGGCGGTAAGCCGAGCGTTCGCGTATTCGGCTTATCATCAACGCGACGAGATATTCGAGCGAGATACGATAGGATCACTTACCACCATGTCCACATTTGGTTGCGCCGCAGACGCGTAACGAATTTCTTCAGCCCGCGCTTCCAGAGCCGCTGCGGCGGCGAGAGGAACGGCGGTCACACCGTGAAACGCTCGAAGGTCAACGAGCTCAGCGCACACACTCGACAAATCTCCAGCTGTAGGCACTTTCATGAATAGCGCAATGGCATCGTTCACATATTGATCCCGCAAAGCGTTTTCCTTTCTTGCGCGCGCATCGCGCGCCAACTGCAGTAAATCTCGCGCGTGGTAAAAAGTCCTCGAATCGGCACCGAAAAAGTCTGGACATCCCTTCTGCAATTCTGTCGCGAGCTCTTCCGCGCTATGTCGAGCGTGAGCCATGATGTGAGACATCATGGCCTCGATCAGCGCTCCCGCCAAACGGGCACCTTGCGTCGTGGAAACCAACTTCTTCAAAGAGAGCTGCGAGCGAGAAATCATCATCATCGGTTAGTCAACTGCTTGGATCAAGCAATTATTATTTGCTGTGCGTTTGACGCTCAGTGGAAGGGCACCATATGATTTGTCATCACTGAAAATCAGGGGATTGACAGATTGAATATATGGAAAGTCATCATCGCGCCACAGTCTCGCAAAAAATCAAACACTCGTGTCTGCGACGTACCTGTGACAGCTCCTTGCGAACTGCCGATGGCAGCGTGTCCGCGACTCGAGAAAATCGTTCATCGGCGACGATTATGCTAATGAAGGACAAAGCCTGGGCCGTCCGGCTAACCAAAGCGGAAAGAGCGGCGAGACTGCGCTCCTCCTCCTGAAGCGCCGTCAACTCAGTCCCATTCGAACGAACTCGTCTTCGCTTGTTTGCGGACAGGTTCGCACCGCTACTAATGCGCGGGCGACGTTGCTTCAAGAACGCAACCAACGGGATCAATCGCTCGTGCAAGTTTTTCAGAAGAGTAATGTCCATCGAGCAACGCAGCGCGGGTTCCTCGCTCATGTACCGAGCGGCAGCTTGCACCGCACCTAACGCCTTGTTCGCTATCTTCATCGCCGGTGACAACGGTCTCGAGCCCCCGTTCGAGGTCGTTTGGACAGGCGCGCGCACAGGAACGATGATTGCGCGTTCCCACGTGCTAGACATGATACGAGCTGTGAACAAGTACATACCGCGTTGCGCCGAGGAAAAAGTCAGCACGGGCTGCACGATCGCACGTCCCATGTTGAACGACCCACCATTGTTTTCTTGATTCGCCGTATAACTATCTTGCGCTATGTTCGGTTCACCTGTGAGCCGAGGGTCATCGAAAGCGCGTTTTGCAGCGAGAATAACGGCATTCGATTCATTTCCAGAAACAGAGAGCGCGACGCACATTGCTGCAGCTTCGATCGGGCCATAGCTTTTGAAGAACTCCTCTATTTGCTCTGGAATATTCTTTTCGAGCACACTTCGAAGGGTGTCAATCGGTCGTGCCTTCTCGAAACGTACGATGCCGGTGTTGGTCATCAGCACAAAGGTTCGCCTCGGACACATGTACTGCGTGACGAGCTCCGAGAGCAGACCCACCGACTTGACTCGCGCTTCCGGGAGCGTACCGGTCGGGTACGGGGGATCTAATGCCTCCCTGACGCTCTTAGGCATCGGTATTTCACCAAGTGAACCGAGACTGGACGCACACCGTCCATCGAGCCGCTGCAACGTAACGACTTCACGCAGGCCTCGAGTGCCGCTTCCAGAGCTCGGCGGTGGCGTCGGCGGTGGAAGCTGCAAATGTGGTGGCAGCGCGAGGTCTCTGTTGGACAAAATCAATCGAGCATCCGAATCGTTCGGTGTCGCATCAGAGAGCAGCAAGACACCGCTGCTGTAAAAGCCAGCCTCGATCTCCAATGCTCTCGACGTCGTGTTCAGGAGAGCTTGCGCAGTCGTCATGCCTCGTTGGTTCCCACCTTGCGGCGGCGGGTCGCGCTGCTCCACGACGGACAGTCGAGACGGCCCTTGACGCGAGACACCTGTGCCCGAGGCCACACCGTAGGAATAACCTCGAGCGGGTGGAAGAGCGGTGAGATAAATACGTCTACCGTCGGCGCAAATCGCCACCAAGGTCACCACTGTCGATTCTTCCGGTTGTACGATGGCGATGTGAACCAATTTTGCCCCTCTCTTCACCGATGACGTCGCGGACGCAAACATAGAGCCCTGGCCACGAGCCTGCGCGGCGAGCTGTGCGATGCTTTTGACTTCGACGACCTTTCGTGGTGCGTCTTTCGCGCTCGCTCCGACGTCGTACACCACCACCACGCCCTGCTCGCTTCGCGTGTACAATATCCCGCGTTTGTCGTCTACTATAACCTGCCTCAACGCATCCGAACCCTTCAACCGCAACACCGACGGCAGAAGCGAGGACAAGTTTTGACTGTGTCTCACCTTTTTGCATCTCTTGCTGTGCCACGTATCGCTCTGCGCGTACACGAGCTCGTACAGCGCCTCGTCCGCTCCAGCGAGAAAGATGCGTCCATCAGGAGTCGATGCGATGTCATTCATGATCGTCGCATCGGTCGGGCACGAGTATTGCAGTGGATGCAGCGTCAACTCTCGACCGACATCCTCTAAACAGAGACCCACCATGACGAGCTCCACCGTCGTCGCCACCACCAGCACGTACGAAATCGCCTCTAAGAACACCCCACTCCTCGGCTTCACCAGTCCGACCGCCACGATCGCCTGTTCCTCTCCGCTGTATTCCACCGGCACATCGTCCACGACGTCCAACCGCCAAAGAAATAAAGTGTTGTCCACCGAGGCCCACGCGCGCGAAATTTCTGGCAGCACGCCGCAAAAGCACACCGACTGTCTCGTGTTGTACCGCTCCAGCACCACCCCCGGGAGCTCTTCCGTCTTCAACCCCACCACATCTGTCGGCCAACCGGTGTTCTGGAACGAGTACGCCTCCCTCGGCGCCTCTCTCAGGAGTTCCACCAGGTCCGCCTGCTCGGCATCCGACGCGAGCTTACTCACCGTCTTCGCCGCGTCTTCCAGCGCCTCTCCCGCGTCTACATCGCGCGCGAACGAACAATCACGCATTACCGTCAATCAATCGCCCCCTAGATCGTCCTCCCACGCGCGCGAACCGCGTCGTTCGGCGTGATTTCCGAGATCATTTCAAAGAGGTTTTGCCCGCCACCAATCGCCGCCGTCGCTCGCGTCCTCTGCGTCGCTCGCGCGCGCACCTCCGACGACGTCGAATCCATCGAGCCGTCGCGCGACGTCGCTCATGCCTCGACGCGCGCGCGTCGCGGCGCCGGGCGTGGACTGCCGACGCTCGACGCGCGCGAACGACCGTCCATCGAGTGACTCGTCGACGAGTCAAGACTCAAGAAGGCGCGCATCGGACGCCGCGTCCTCCCATCGGACGCCGCACGCGCGCGCGCCCGGCGGCGATGGACGTCGACCGCGCGCTCGACGACGACGACGATGCCGACGACCTGGAGTGGTCGCTCGGATTCCTCGAGCGTCCGATCGACGTCGAGGCGCTGCGCCGACATCATTTTCCGAGCAAGGCTGGCGGCGCCCCGGCGTGGTTGGACCCCGTGCGCGTGCCGTACGAGGAGGAACTGCGCACGGCGAGAGGTGAGCGCATGGATTTCTTATTGCAGGTGTACGCGCCCGTGGACGAGGAGCACAGCGCGTTTCACCGGACGATTTACGTCTTTGTGAGCCCGCACGGGGGGGAGACGCACGAGGCGGGCGGCGCGCGGGCGTTTCGAGGACAGTTGCCGAGAGCGAACGCGTATTACGATTGGAATCCGACGCCGAACGGTGGAGAGGTGAATGGTTTGAGCGCGGCGTTAGAGGCGACGCGTCGGAGGAGGTGTGATTGGTGGGACGTATCGGCGAGCGAGTGCGAGGCTACGATGCGGGCGCCGACGCGCGCGTTCGAGGAGTACGAGTTAGTGGTAGAGACAGAGGAACGCGCGGACGAGAACGAGGAGGAGTTGCTCGCGAACGCGACGGAGGTCGGGGCGGACATGTCGGCGGAGGATTTAGAGGCGATCGAGCAGGAGGTAGTGGATAAAGACATGGAACAGCTCGCGACGTTCCACGTCATGTTGCACAAGGATCCAGAGCAGGTTCTGAGGTACTGTCCCGAACCTGGAGCGAAGCCGACGTGGCCGTCAGTGACGCACGCGCCGAACACGGACAATATCCCGTCTTGCGCGCGGTGTGGGGCGCCAAGGAAGTTCGAATTTCAGATTTTGCCCACCCTAGTGAGTCAACTCGGTGTGGACTCGGAGAGCGACTACGCGCTCGATTTCGGTTCCATGGCGGTGTATACGTGCTCAAAATCATGTCCACCGATCGAGTGCGACGAACTAGGAAGGCGTACGGGGGCGTATGCGGAAGAGTACATCGTGGTACATCCGCCGTTGAACCAATGATTTGTTATTCACAATAGTTTTACTATTTGCGGTGCGTGCATGAATTTTAACAATAGTGTGCGGTGATGTAGCGGTACAGCTTTCCAGCTAAAGGCAAACGGTGACTTGATTCAAGTCATCGTGTAAAAAGTCAACGAAACAAGCTTTGATGAATGGAATGAATGGAACAATCAAAATCAATTATGACGGTGAAGTTGACCAATATTTAGGATGGAACGCGAAGCGCTCACGAGGACTTGGACTCTAAATCCTTCATGTATTGAACTGCGAGCTTGGATCCGCGAACGGCGTCCTCCCAGTTTCTTGCGCAGATGGAGACGACGTAACAGTCGCCGCCAACTCTCGTCAGGGTCTTCGCGTCACCACTTTTCACGTTGAGAGAAATGCTGACAACAGAGCAATTATCGCGTACAGCGTTGATCAATCCTGTCAGCGTTTGCCGTGTATTCGCGAGCAACGTAGCCGGTAGCGGAGTTCTACTCGCGTACGACGCCACTTCGATTGAAGCGTCACTACACTTTCGTTCTCGAACGAGCTGCTCGTGACTGTTGATGATTTCTATAAGATCATACTCATTCCCAGGAACCCGCACGGTGATTGGCTCGTGAAATGCCGGAAGGGTCTTGGAGTCGATGACGACAGATTTTTCGTGATCAGAATGGCGCATGTTCACCGCCGGAACGCCGTCCGGTACCAGAATGTCACGCGTGGACACATCAGAATTGGTCTCAAACTTGAGCAGTTTCGTGACTTCATCCTTCATAGCGGAGTAACTCGGACTTGGACTGGAAGGCTTGTGCGACGCTCGCATGGAGCACTCGAGAGAGTCGCTCGTCGTTGACTGACTCTTCGATCGAGGCGTCGAACAATCCTCGTGTGCTCGCTACCATGGCCGCGATATAAAACGCCAAGACGCAAAACGCGTCCACCGCGCACCCTCCGCGTCCGTGCGGCGTTCGCCCGCGCGTCTTTCTCAACGGCTCCACCACCTCATCCCGCACCCTCCGTTGAATCTTTCGATACAGCGCCGAATCCAACGGTCGCGGAAACGTCTCCTCCGGTCCGAACATCTCGCTCGCTCCCTCCACCGTCGGGAGCGTCTTCAACCAGCGCTCCACCACCTCGGGTCGCAGGTGATGACTTTCGACCAGAATCGTCGCGTCCCGCCCGACGCAGAGCGACAACAGTTGGGACCCTCCCGGGTGCTTGGTCGCGAAATCGGTCACGTCGTACACCACGCCTCGGATTCGCGTCAACCGACGCTCGGGCGCGGCGTCGTGGACGGCGTCGGCGTCGGCGTCGGCCATCGTGTTCGCGCGAACGTTTGACGGTTTCGTCGACGCGCGACGCGTCTCGGTGGACGCGCGACGCGCGGGCGCGCGCTCGGTGATCGTCGACGGACGGTCGTCCGCGCGACGGGCGCTCGAGCGCGTGCGGGTGGGCATGGAGCGCGGAGCGGTGGCGATGTGTGACGTCGGTGAGTCGTGATGTTTTTATCCATCCAAAGCGGCGGGGTACAGCGAGGGGCGAACGGGACGTCGATGTCGATGGCGCGGTGCGTGTCGAATACAGTCGTCGTCGTTAGGGTGTGCGTGCGTCTTTAGTCGGAATACGCGTCGGATCACGCGGCGTTGGCGACGAGATCGGTGAGCCAGGAGTTGTGCGCGGCGTCGCTCTCGAGTTCAGCTTTGAGCTGTCTCGCACGGGCGACGGCCTCGGCTGGGGACATGCGCTCGAGTGGCACCGCGGCGAAGTCAGAGAGAAACTGGCGTGCGCGGATGACGCCGCGAGCCATGTCGTCGGAGACTTCCTCGCCGCGTTGACGCTTGGCGTTGGGTTCGGAAACATCCGCGACGGCTCGCTCGGCGCCTTCCTTGCTGAAATCTTCCAGTTCCTCCGCCTTTTGTCTGGCAACCTTGAGAACTTCCTCGGGGAACCGAGCAAACTCGGCGCAGTGAATCCCAAACGATTGATCGCACGCACCGGGCTTGATTTGGTACAACATGGTAAGTTTCCGGCTCGCCTGGTCGATGAGCGCCTCGACGTGAAAGTTGGCGACGCCGCTCGCACCTTTCAGCGCGGTGAGCTCGTGGAAGTGCGTGGCGAACATGCATGGAGCCTGAATCTCGTTCACTATGTGCTCGCTGATCGCCCAAGCGAGACCAAAGCCGTCGTATGTGCTCGTCCCGCGACCGAGCTCATCGATGATGACCAAACTCGAAGGCGTTGCTGCCTTCAAAATAGCCGCCGTCTCGAGCATCTCAGCCATGAACGTGGAGATGCCGCGGAGTTGACAATCACCGGCTCCGACGCGAGCAAAAATGGCATCCCGAACGGCGATCGTTGCTTCATCACACGGTACGAAACTCCCGATCTGTGCCAGGAGCACGCACACGCCCACCTGGCGAATAAACGTACTCTTCCCACCCATGTTCGGACCCGTGATGATTTGAAACCAAGACTCGCCCTTCTTCATCGAGCACGTGTTCGCGATGAATCGCACGTTGTCCTGCGCTTCGACGTTCGGGTGTCGACAATTCTCCAAATGGATCGTGTCAGATGACTTTTCCTGCATGATTGGACGAACGAATGGTACGGGGGCGCTCACTGCGACTTCAGCGAAGGAGACGAGAACGTCGATCTCCGCGGCCATGGCAGAGACGTTCAGGAAGACTTCAGAAAACGAAGCCGCCACGTCGACGACGCGCTCGACGAGGTGACGCTGCTTGGCCTCATAGCTACGATCGAGAGCGACGCGTTGCTCGGAGAGCGCGCGAAGCTTTTTGTTCGTAAACTTGGTCCCATCCTTCTTCGCCTCGAGAATTTGATAACTGACGCTTAGCTTCTTGCGAACTGAGGTCTCATCCTTCTTGGTCAATCTCATAAACCAGCCGTGCATGTTGTTGTGCTCCAACTTCAACTGTTTGTCTCGTTCCATCCCCAAATCTTTGCTAGCGTCGGCGAACGCGCTTCGAATGTCCTCTTCCAGGACGTCCTTTTGCTTTTGCAGCTCCCCAAGCTCGGCGTCGTACGAAGCGCAGATAACATACTCGTCAGGAATCTTGCTCAGATCCACCGCCGCCTCTAAAAGACCTTCGAAACGCCCGAGATGGCTCGGATCGCTGAACTTCTTCAGCTCATCGGCGTACTTGGTGCGAATGAAATCCGCGAATCGACCTTCGCATCGTTCCAGCGCCTCCGCCATGTGCGGGAGCGCTGCGCTCGCTTGATACAGTCGACACAGGTCCATCAACGTCGCCTTACGCCGTTCGAGCTTTCTAGTGATGCGCTCAATATCCGGTAGAGATCGAAGGTGAGCACTGCGAAGAGCATCTCTGACCTCAGCGGAGTTCACAAATTCGTGCACGACGTCGTGTCGTTGGGCAATTTCGCCGACGTCGACGAGCGGCTGTTTCAGCCATCTCGAGAGAAGACGTCGACCCATGGGGGTTCGGCACTTGTTCAGCAAGCCGTAAAGACTAAAGTTACTGGGTCCATCGGAGCGTTCGGGAAGGACGTTCAGCGCGCGAAGTGCCGAGGCGTCAAGACGCATGTAACGACCGGTGTCGTACATGCTCAGCGAACATCGCCCATGATTGGCGCTATCGGCGAGCATCTCGCTGAAACGCAAAACCGCGGCGAGACACGCCGCAGAGTTTGGTTGATCGATCACCGCTCGATGCGCCTCGACATTGCCCTTGATCAGCCTATCAAGATCGCTCTCGAGATCCAACACGTCAAACTCTCGCGAAGGACGCTCCGTGGCTAGCGCGCCGCATCTCGCGACGACGTCTCGCAACCGTCTCCCCTCAGGCGTCTCCAAACCTTCCTTCGGCACCACGCATTCCTTCGCGCCCATCTGACACAACACGCTCTCGAGCGTGCAAAACTGTTCATCGTCCACGAACGCGCACGCGCCCAATTCGCGCGTCGTCGCGTTCACGTACGCCACGCCCACGCCGCCGCCGCTCGTCGCGCGAACCGCGCACACCACCGCGGCATCCGACATTTCATTCGAGCGAAACAACTCCTCCTCGAACGCCTGCGTTCGACCCGGCGACGCTGTCTTAGAAAGCGTCCACGTCCCGCTCGGCTTGCTCTCTTCGTACAGCTCCACTCGAGCGCCCTCCGCGCCCTCGATCAACAGCTCCCGCAACGCCGTCTCAAACATGGCGCGATTCAGCGTGACGCCCGCCAACGCATCTTCTCCCCTCCCCGTGTGCTTGATCACCGACGTCGTCTACGAGCGCGCCGACATCGATCGCCTCCCGTCAGTCGTCGAGCGACAGCCGACGCGCGTTTGAACTCGCATCCGCCTCGCGTCACGCCCCACGCCCCACCACCATCCCGCACACCCCCGTCCGCGCGCAGGACGTCACACGAACCACCCACGACGCCCTCGCATCGATCGACGCACCTTATAAAACGTCCGCGCGACGTACTCCGCGTCCGCACCGTGCACCGAATAAAAATCTCGTCGATCGAAGAATCGCACGACGCGCTCGCCCGCGCGTCCGTCGTCCGCGATCAATCGCGCGTAGACGCGCGCGAATTTCGTCTCCGCGTCCGCGTCCGCCATCGCGTCCGCGGCGGCGTCGCGAGGTGTCGCGCGTCCGTCGACGCGCGCCCGTCGCGCGCGCCCGTCGGCCCGTCCGAGACGCGCACGAGGGACTCGTTCCTGAGTCACGACTCGCCGATTGACGCGCCCGCGTCGGCCCGTCCGAGACGCCGAGACGCGTGGACGAGGGACTCGTTCCTGGGTCACGACTCGCCGAATGACTCGCCCGCATCACGCGCATCGCCCGACGCACCGGCGCTTCGCGACGCGCGCGTTCGATGAGCGCGCGCGCGCTGCTGGGCGACGACGGCGCGCGACCGCCCTCGCGCGCGTCCTCGTACGGGTCGGACGGCGAGCGAGAGTGCGCGGCGTGAGACGAGAGCGAGACGGCGAGCGAGTACGTCGGGATGACGCGGGCGCGGCGAGGGGTGAAGGATTCGAACCGCGTCGCGGTCGCGTGCGCGATCGCGGTGAGCGTGCCCTCGCTCGTGGGGTCGTGATGTTGGCCCTTGCTCGCGGCGTCGCTCACGGGGGCGGCGGCGAGCGCGGGGGCGAAACGGGCGTCGCACGCGTTGAGTCTGGGAGTGAATCTGCTCGCGACGGGTGCGGTGGCGATCGCGACGGCGCGACGGGCGAAGACGCGATCTGGGACGTATTGGCACAGGAAAGGGCCGATGATTTTGACGATGGCGAGCGTTTTCTTGCTGTGCGCGGATCCTGTTCGGCACGTGTTACAGGACGAAGACGTCTGGACGACGGGTTCGAGCATGTATCGCGACGACTGCGAGCACGCCGACGTCAGGTGTCTGAGCGCCGTGGGATGGATCTTCACGCTGTGCACGTACTTTGGGTTCGCTTGCCTCATCGCGGGGTCCGCTTGGAACGCGGACGCGTTCGGGAAGATCGGTCGAGAGTGGAACCGTCGGAGGCACGCGGGAGGCGACTCGAGCAACGCGGGCGATGACGCCGACGGCTGCGATGAGCCTTGAGTGGTGGACGATGTATGATTTATGTTATAAGAAGCGACCGCGGCGTTTGGGATCGTGTCGTGACGCGCTCGTGCGAATGTCAGCCATGCTGGCGGCGCGAGGGCTGATTTTCACCGTTCTCTGGGCGACCGTTGTTTCTTTCTTGACTTTAGCTTCTAATGTGTTACAATTTTCACGCATGTATCCTACAAAGAATCAAATAGATGGCTCCGCTGTCGTCATTGTTCGATGGTCGTCGATGGTCGTCGTATTCGTTCGATCGCCCATCACGATCGTCGTCGTTTCTCCGGAGGTGTGGCCTCGACGAAATCGTCAACATTCGTCGCGTGCCAGTCTTCGTCCGCGGACACGTTCGCGATCGTCGACGCGTTTTGGCCCCACGGTCGCGGTAAGGCACCGACTTCGTCCGCGCCGCCTATCTCTCGTTGCGATCCATCTTCGGTGTCAGGCACCGCGGACCACGGTTGACTGCCGATCGGCACGTTCGGAAGCTGCGCCGCGCTCGGTGCCGACGGTTCTGCCCGCTCGCTTTGCGTCGACGCGTCGTTCGCAATCTCCGGTGGTAAAACGGTCGCCAACACGAGCTCGGCCTCGAAGTCGACGCTCGGCGCCGCGGCCTGCTGCGACTCTCCGTGTTGATGGAAAAGCTTGTAATCCGCCGTCGGCTTCGCGATCACCGGTGCCCCGGCCTGGGCGCAATAAATCGCCAAATCCACATCAGACGCTTCACACAGCTGCACCACGCCTCGCAAATCCTTCAAATTCACCGTCACCTCGATCTTCGATCCGGCGGTGTTCCTATAGAACAAAATTGATTCGTCGTCTCTTCGCACGGACACGCTCGTCTGCAACGCCTGACTCAATCCCGCCCCAGCCGTCGCAAAGCTCGACAACGTCAAGATATTCCCTGAACTATTCCCAATCCTACCCTCGTCCACCTCGACGCATACCTCACCCTCGATCCCGAACGTTATCGTCACGTCCTCCTGCGCCGCCGAAGCGAAGTGCTGCAACAGCGCCCCGAACGCCCGCGCGCGCATCACGCACTTCCCAGGCATCGCCTCCGCGTCCATCTCCGCGTCAACGTGTTCGCAATCGATCACCTCGCACATCTCGTACGTCCGCGTCACCCCAGTTTTCGCGCTCGTCGTTCGAACGACCACTCGCGGCTCTTCTCGCGCCGCGTCGTCATCCGCGAGTTCGATCGACAACGTCTCCGCCCTCGCGCTCGCCCTGAGCGACGCCAAGACGTGTTTCGCCAGCGCACACGCCTGCACCCGTTTCCCGCGCACCTCGAACGCGTCGAACGCGCGCGCGAGCACCCTGACGCGCGCGAACGCCGAGCGATTCGCGTTCACGCTCTTCAGCGTCAACGAACCTTCGCGTCCATCCTCCCGCGCGTCGAGCATGATCTCCCCTCCGACCCTGGAGAGGAACGCCACCGATCTGTGCAGGGCGCGGAGGGAGTGGGCGGAGATATCGGCGCGCATGCGCGACGACGACGCGTCGATTCGTGCCGACAGCTGTCGATTTAAAATTTGAAAAACCAACCCGTGCGCGCACTCGCGCGCGCTCGACGCCGCCGCATCGCGTCGCACGCTCGGCGCGCGCGCGAACGCGCGAGAGAGCGTCGGCGCGGACGCGTCTCTGGCGTCGGCGGTGCGCGACGAGAGAGAGGACGACGCGCGGGAGAGGCGGTCGTTGGAAAACTTTTGAACATGACGAGCCTCGTCGTGAGCGTCGACGCGCTGCGCGCGCGCGCGTTTCGCGCGCTGAATGCGGCGGTGGACGCGGTGAAGACGCGCGGGTGGGGCGGCGGCGCGGCGGTCGTCCTCGCGCGGGGGGTCGGGGAGGTC